AGTGAATAGATCACTACCAGGTTGCAAGATGAGATTTGCAACCATGGGATGTGGGCACCTTACAATTCGCATTAATCAAGTGAAGATTCTAGCCCTAGTGGATTCTGGGGCAGAGATGGTACTTCTTTCACGAAGAACGATGGAGACATGTAACTTGACTATTGATAGGCCTGCCCAAAACGTACTGAGCAATATTGCAGGAGAATTGTTTGTGGTTGTGTTTATAGACAATTTGCCTATTCGAGGCAATCAATAAATCTTGGGTGTGAAGAGTCGTTATGTATTTTATTAATTGTTATTTATTATTTTATTTATGGGTTTTATTTTAATTTGTTAACGTTTGATCGCTGGTTGTCAGAGGGTCTGCCTGCTGGGGCATGGTTGTTGTCTGTGGGACTTGCTGATTTTGCAAGTATATAAATACTTATCTGAAGTTCCCAGACCAGAGAAAAAAAACAGGGTTTGGTATCCCCTCCCTTTTATCTGAGAAGTTGAGGAGACACCTCACTCAGACCAGAGAAAGAAAACAAGGGTTTGGTATCCCCATCAGGTGCTTGAGAAGCTAAGAAGGCGTCTCACTCAGGTCAGAGAACAGAAAAGAGGGTTTGGTATGCCCTATTTACAGCATGGCAGACAGAGTGGGTACCCTCGTTACTGGCGTCATCCCTGGCATAGATGCCTGATCAAGAGTTAAGGTAACCTTCATACGAAAGACCAGCAGCTGAATAAGTCAAACAAGCACACAAAATCCTTCTTTAAATTTTATTTGGTGGCTGACAAGCGGCCTGGTTCACGAGGAGCCTGCAACCCTGGCCTTAAGAAAGCCAAACTGTCAGGCCTGGGACGCTGTAGAAGGGACTGTGAAGTGAAATTTTTAGGGGCAGAAAACAGATTCAGAGAGATGAAAAGAAGTCATGTTTATAAAAGACATAGAAGATGGTCATGAGCTCAAGCTGGAAAAGAAAGAGAAGGAAGAAGATGCTGGAGAGAATGCAGTGATTAGGGTGATGAGGAGACGAGACAGCACACGGGATAGAGGAAGGTGGGGCAGGTACTATGGCCTTGCTTACAGCGGGGGTGGAAGGAGCTCTAGGGATATAAGGAGGTGAAGACTTGCTAGGTGTACTGTAGCGCGCGTCAAATTTGTTACGGAGGAACTCCATCCTGTCAGGAGATGGGGTCCTCTCGTACCATCCTGCTGACGAATAGTGAGGGTATGGCCTTGGGCGGTCGTAGCCTCGTGGCTCCCCTTCCTCCTCCTCTGAGCTATAATCCCGTCGTGCCCTAGCTGGCGGCTCTTCTTTTGCTTTCCCTCCTCTTCCTCCCCTTCCTCTACCCTATCCGCGGCGTGCCTCAGGCATGATGCACGTGAGATGGTTGTTAAAGAGGAGATAAAAAACAGAATCTAGCGCCAAAGGCAATGACCGGGAAGGTTGTGTGAGTGAAGTTTACGATGATGAGATCGACCCTGAAAGCGGAAGCGAAAAATTACCAAGAGAAATGAAGAAAATAACCTCGCCCACTACGGGGGACTACGGCATGCTACGTGAGAGAGAAGATGAGCACTAAAAGAAAAGCAAGTGGAGAAAGAAGACGAACGCTAAAGGAGGAGTCTAGCACAAAGAAAAGAAACCTAGCGTAGAGGGAGGGAGCTAGTGGAGAAACGTAGAGAAAGATATGCGAGCACAGATAAGAAAGGCGAGCGTATACGAAAAGGATGGTGCTGGGAAAAAGAGAGTGGGCACTAAAGCAAAAACAAAAAACAGACTGTGTAGAACTACGGTGCGTGCTCCGCAGTGAGTTGCAAGTAGGAATAAATGAGAAGTATAACTTGCTCACTCTGGTTTTATGTTGAAAACGCGATGCGTTTCGACCTAGCGGGGACGCTGGGTGGGGGTTTGGTATTATGTCAGAGGGCACGGTGTCCCGACCCTCCTTTGTGTACCAGTTCCTCGCTCAGTGCCAGTCCCGGTGGCGCAGCCCTCAACAAAAGGGGTGCGCCACAGGACTTTCATTGGTCCATGCAGGCTCGGCGCCCTGCTGTACAGCAGAGCACAACCGGCCTGTGGTCGTGGTAGCCGTCGGGTTCGCCCTGGGACGCGGAGGTGAGAGGGCTGGCTCAGTCTTTTCAACAGCGCATCAATCGCCCCTCTACTGAGTTATGGGTTAGGTGCACTAGGCGAATGTCACCGTCAATAGAGAAAAGAAAAGATAATAAAATATAATAAAACGTCGAGTAAGAAAATGTTAAGTTTGGGGAAAAACTAGTGGCTTCAGGCCACTGACTTTACGCTTTCTTTTCCATTATTGTTTCAAAACTATCAGTATTATTTTTGTTATTATTACTTAATTTTTCTATTTTTCGATTCTCTACATGTTGGCCTGTCCTTTCGCGGGAAGGCCAACGGTTCGAATTTCGAGCCAGCGGTCCACGACCTGAGTAGGCCGGCCTTGCACGTACTGTCTATGGGGGAGCTCCGATCTGGCGCCATGCGGTGAGACCCCAAAAAGGAGGGCGACCCGCGGCCGCATCGGTAGGAAGCCCATCACCCCTGAAGTGGGTCATGAGCCCCCTCCTTGCCATCGGACACAAGTACCCGTCGGGCATTGGCCAATGCGAGCATTTTGAGGGAAGAAAAGTGCTTGTCAATATCCCGTTATGGCACCATCACCTCAGAATAGCAATCACCCTTTTGTGAGATGAAGCGACTGGGACCGATAGCAAAAGGCCTGTGGATATCGCGGCCATAAGTTTCATTTCTTTTCTTTCCTTTCTTTGGTTTTCTTTTATGAAGAATCACAGTTTTAAAATTATTCTGTTTACTTCCAAATTTTTACTGAGCCTTGAACCTTTTTGCTTAGAGCACACCGGGGTCGCACTCGCCTGTAGCTCTATAAAACAGAGGCTGCCCCAGGGTCTTGAGGCAAATACGTGAGAGGAGTGTTATCACTCCTCAAGTGTGAGTAGTGGTATTGTTCGGGAGCCTTGATTCCAAGCACTCTGGATTCAACCTGGCTAAGTACTTTTGCGAACAGGGATAGTGCGGACTGGGCACTGGCGTTGGCTATTGAGAAAGAGTGGCTATGGAGCTGCATGGGTACATGCCCGGGTACTGGTATCACCAGGCCCGTTGGAAACCCATGTCCGGGAAAGGGCCCTGGATTACCATCATACTCAACTACGACGGTGGAGATGAACTGTTACTGAAGATCAACGTAGAGGGAGCAAAAGAGGGGGAGATGCGAACTAACCCGAAGCTGCAGGACGCAATTTCGGAGGCGAGAGATCGAGCGGAGAGACGCTGTAGACGGGACGGAGTGACGGCAAGGCTACTGATAACGGTGGCTTACCACGAAACTGAGACCTCGATGGACACAGCGGACCTGGAACAGGTCCACCAGGACAGAGACTCAGGAGGGGAAAGTGAGATGAGTGACGCAGATCGAGAGACGGATCTCAAGTCATGGAACAGACCAGTAGAGATCCAAAGGCATCACCGGGCCGTAAAGTCGGTGGAGGAGGGACCCGAGGCTAGCTCGAGACACCCGATGCCCAGAGGCCGTGGGACGGGTGAGAAGCAGAGCACGGGGAAAAGACAGGCCGGAGAAGACGCGAGCGATGTGCAGGGAGAGCGAACAGAGGTCAACGCGGGTACGCAGAAGTTAATGATGTCAACCTCGAGGAAGAAAAAGGGGCTTTTACACGTGTACAGCGGGCGACAGTGAGAGGATCGTGAGGGAGAGACAACTCCAAGGGACGCGTAAGTACACATAAGCGGTGTACGAGAGAGAGAGAGAAGGTGCCTGACGAGGAAAAGGTTGTGAGTTGGCGTCATCTGCTCTGGCCTCATGCCTTCGAGTGATGGGAAGTGCCTGCAGTGACTTCGGTGAGGTCATCGGCACGAACCC